TATTATAATACACAATTTTATATTATTAAATACATAACAAAAAATATAATTTTTCATTTGTATAGTTAACAAATATTCAAAAATTTTAAAATTTGATGTATATGATTTACACAAATAAAACATGAAATTCAATAATTACTTTGACAAAATACTAAGTAACTAAGAATTATTGACTAATACAAAATATGATAGCTATATTAATATAAAGTTGATCCTAAGTTCAAATAAACTAAATAAGTTGAACAACCTGCTCCAACTCAGTGGAATGGACCCTAAGTTAGGGCTGTTCACCTTCTGTAAATGACGTGCTCAAACCCCACAGATCCTCTTTCTCCTTCCCCCAATTAATACATGTAAATAATTTCAATCCATTCAAAAAAGATAAATTAAATAAGTTAAACATCAAAAAATAAATTAATTCATTAAATAAGTTATGATTGTAGGAGAATATTCTAAGAAAGAACTTGAGCTTCCAGCTTTGACAACTTCGAAAGTGTTTTAGTTGAGAGGACTTGATATTCCTATTCAATTATACTTTTTAAATTAGTTAGCTACTTATTTTTAATATTGTAATTTTTTTTCTAGTCTTTTATTTATCTGTGGTGAATTAATTACGTAATTCTTACTACTGCAAAAATTTAATATTCCTTTTAGTGGTCAATTAATTGCGTAGTTCTTACTGCTAGAAAAATTTGTTATTCTTTTTAGTCATAGACTTTATGATAAATGATATTTTGAGTGGAAAATTTAGAAATAAAGATAAGAGAATGCTAAAAAGTCTTTATACTATAAGGCAAAAGTCTTCTTAGTAGAAGAAATTAAAGAGATTGTAATAAGTCTTTATACTAGAAGACAAAAGTCTTCTTAGTGGAAGAAATTAAAGAGATTGTCATCGATTCACCCATTTTAGAATATGTTTGGTTAAAGAGGATATATAGGATTTGAGATTCCAATCCAACTATATTCTTTAAATTAGCTAGCTACTTATTTCCAACATTGAAATTTCTAATTTAGACTTGTATTGATCAATGATCAACTAATTGCGTAGTCCTTCCTACTAGAAAAATTTGGCATTCTTTTCAGTTAGAGACTTTGTGATAAATGACACTTTGAGTGGAAAATTAAGAAATAAAGGTAAGAGAATGCTAAAAT